GTGAGCTTGTGGATTGCTTTCTCACCTGATGGATGGATGGATGATGTATCTACTCTAAATGACATATCTTTCTGCGGTGCATTGTCTTTTCATTTCTGAACGGCTGTAGAAGTAAGTTCTTGCTGAAAGTTGTCTTTTCCTTTTCAGTACGGTAGAGGCAGTTTGGGACCGACTTGGTACCCCTATCACGTTGGTCCTGGTCCACGGCCTACTTGGGACCACTCGGGACCTAGTGGGACCAGGCCCAACGGGACAGGACCTCTTGGGCCCAGATCTGTTGCCGCTAGTGCTTTTCTTTGCTGTGCTGGATTTGGGGGACATATGGACAGCAAGGGCATTCCTTTCAAGGGGATCTTGACTGGCCTTACCGCATGTTAGCACATACTGCCCCGCGTCTGACTCGGCGACCATCTGCACCCCTCGAAATCTCCATTGCTGCAGACTAGTCTTCTTCGTCTGAATTATTGTGATGCATGTCCCCTATCAGGTTAGACAAGAGGGGATCTCCAGCTGATCTGATCGGGCCCGTTCTATAAATCAGACCTCTCTGCTGTTTTATTTTTTTATTTTTATTTATCTTTTTTATTTTTATTTATTCTTCTGCTGCATGCCACGCTCTAAGTCCAAATGATTCGCCACTCCGGCTAGGAGTTCTACCTTCTTCTCTGAGTGGTTTTCAATTTGTTTCTTTTATCTGAACTATCTATGTCCAGTATTGAGACGCGTGCGCGGACAGCGAGAAGAGAAGAAAGGGATAGAGGTGTTATGTTTGAGAGTGTGAGGAGGGGCAAGAGGAGTGTTCGTCCAAACGTAAGAAGAGAGCGGACCCCTCTTGAGAGTTCTACTGACACCCCTTCCTCTAGCATGGCGGTCATCACATCTGACCAATGGCAGGCCATGCTGGACGCAGCAGACGAGAGCCAGAAACCATTCTTTCAAAAACTGTATGATAATGTCGTGCAGAGGGAAAGGGGGGCAGCGGCAGCAGCTAGAGCCGCCGACATTGATGATCAGGTGGCTCTCCTTCGGATCTCGGAAGCCAATGCTGACTGGTTTCGGGAGGAACTAGCTGCTGCTGTAGCAGCCCTGGTCCGACTACGGACCTTGGAAAACCTTGAGTCTCGTATGACAACACTTGAGCAGCGGAACGAAGAGCTGCAAGCGAAAGTAATTAGCCTTGAACAGTCCCAGCTGCCTCCCGCCCTCCTAACCCTCGATCTGCTATAATCCCAACCTCCCAAGCCAACACAGCCCTCGTGCCAAGGACAAGCGAAACTGTGGCAAGCGCAGGAACCGGCGCCAGCTCCTCGAGCGGCAGCACCGACAGTTCTGCGCTGGTCACGGTCCCGAATGCAGGGACTTCAGCCCAAAACACCACAGTCCTTAATGGCGTTCAGTACAGCGGTCCCATGGTGGACAAGCGGGCGGCCACGCTGCCGTCCAAGTACGACGGGAAGGCAGACATCACCTCTTGGATTAGTTCCATGCGGTCGTACTTCGAGGTCATGCGGACACCGCAAGAGGACCGAAGTATGATCATTGAGCTCCAAGCTGTTGCTGCAGGCTATGCACGCATAGACCTGAATGATTGGCTGAAGGTCACCCCTGTCCGCGTTCTTGAGGATCTTCTCCTTGACCGGTACTAGGATAAACATGTTGCGCTCAAGGCTAGGCTGAAGCTTGAGGCCCTCAAGGGCCAAACATGGAGGTCATCCATGCAGGCTTTGGAACAACACTTGACTAGTCTGTTCACCACTCCGGATCTGGGAATGACTGACGTATCTTGTATGGATGTAGTCATGGGAGTGGCCCCTAAAGATTACCTCTCCCTGCTAGCACTCAAGGACCATGCCACCTGGCGAGAGCTCATGAAGGACCTAGTCGACCTAGAGGCCAAGGACCTCGCCAGGCGCAAGAAGGCGCCTGCTGCAGGTGGGAAACCACAACGCAAGCGGTTTGGAAGCAGCAACCAGCTTGCACTGCATGATCATCGGGAGGCTGACGATCAGTCCTATGCGGATGATCTATCTCTAGATGACGATCTAGAGCCGGACTCCGATATGGGCTGTTCCACATCAGCCATTGAGTGTGACAGAAATGATGATGAGAAACTTAATGCATTCAGAAAGACTGCTTCAAATAAGGGGCCTAACCGTGGTTCAGGTAAGGGAATTGTCTTACACCTTCCCCAAAATGCTAAGATCCCTGAGAAACCGGAGGACGCTTCTACCAAGCCTTGGGAAACCCTCCGCATCAGCCAAAAAGAATGGGAAAGAAGGTCCAAACTACGCGTATGCTTGCATTGTTCAAAGCTTGGGCATGCTGTGCAGGATTGCTATCGTCTTCAGGGAAACAGGCAAGGGGCGTAGAGGAGTCATCAGCACTCTCTACAGCAAGGGAAGCTGGGCAGTCAGTTGCAGGACCTTCCGAGGAGCCTGGATCTGATCAGCAGCGTGCTCTTGAAGCCCAAACTAATGCTGAATCCAAGGCTGATGCAGTCCAAGTGTTGTACATTGAGCCTTGGGAGGAGTCTAAAGAGGTCGACCTCCACGCCCACATGAAGCATTGGCTGCAGCTCAAGCAGCAACGCCGTGTTCAAGGGAGCGTGGAGCTGACTTTCTTTAAACTACTCATTAACCGCCGATACATTCATGTGCTGATTGACAGTGGTTCGACCACTGATTTCTTCTCTCGGAATGGGATTCGTAAGGCGGGTCTGGGTATGAAGCAAGTGGAACTGCAGAACCCTTGTCGGACTCAGGTGGGCAACCAAGAGGTTGTCACTTCCACTCATGCTGTCAAAGGTGTGCGCATCACCTTTGACAAAGATCGCACTGACACACATGAGCTGAATTTTTACGTTCTGGACAAGTGTCCTTTCGACGCGGTCATTGGCTTGGGCTGGCTAAAGGCTCATTGCCTAAGGACCACATGGGCGGACAACCAGTTCGTGGTACTTGACGCCAAGGGGAACGAGCGTACCGTCTTGTTAGATGAGACGCGCGAGTCCCCTGTGACTCTTCTCCGTGCTAACAAATTCTGCAGGTCAGTGCGCATGCGCAAGGAAGCTGAGTTTGTACATATAGCTCTTGTAAAGCCTCTCCATGTGCCTTCTACTTTTGCTGCATTTTCTACCTCTGAAGGTAACTCTACCTCTACTACTTCTACTTCTGTTCCACCTACTTCTACTGTAAATGATCAATCTATTTCTGATCCAAATACTTCGAAACCGGTTGTGATTGCTGTAAATTCTCGATCTGATTTTCTCTCCCCTGACGAGGATGATCCGCCACCGGAAATCCCAGCGAACATTCGCCTTCTATTAGATCGATTTCCTGAAGTTTTCGCTGAACCTCGCGGAGTACCCGAGCGTCCAATCAAACACAAGATCGAGATAGTAGAAGGGAGTGTTCCTCCAAAGGGCTGCGTCTACCGTATGGGACAAGGCGAGTTGGAGGAGCTGTGAAGACAAATCGATGACATGATTGATCGTGGATGGATTAGGCCTAGCGAGTCTGAGTTTGGCGCACCTGTTTTGTTTGTACCAAAGAAAGAAGGTAAACTCCGGATGTGTATTGATTATCGTGGCCTGAATCGGATCACCCGAAAGAATGTGTATCCTTTGCCCCGCATTGATGATCTGCTAGATGCGCCAGGTGGGTGCAAGGTTTTCTCCAAGATCGACCTCAAGTCTGGCTACCACCAAATTGAAGTTGATCCGAGCGACCAGCACAAAACTGCGTTCAAGACACGCGATGGGCTATACGAATTCATCGTTATGCCCTTCGGACTGACAAATGCGCCAGCCACATTTCAGTGCCTCATGGACAAGGTACTCCGCCATCAGCTTAACAAGTTTGTGGTTGTGTACCTTGACGACATTCTGATTTTCAGCAAGTCCATGGATGAGCACGTCAAGCATCTTGAGGAGGTTTTGCAAGTCCTCAAGGAAGCTCAACTGCACCTCAACTTAGAAAAAATTGAGTTTGGCAGGGACAGTGCCATCTATCTTGGGCACCGGTTGTCTGCAAACGGCCTTGAGCCGGAGGCAACCAAGGTTGAGGTCATTCAAAACTGGCCTCAACCGGCGAACGTACGCGAACTGCGTTCTTTTCTCGGTTTGGCTTCCTATTACCGGAAGTTTGTACCCAGATTTTCTATTATTGCTCATCCGCTCTCAAGACTAACCAGCAATAATGTTGCCTATGCATGGTGTGAGAAGTGTGAGTCTGCGTTCCAAGCCTTGAAAGAGGCATTGGTGAGTCATCTTGTGCTTCACATTGCAGATCCCAATCTCACGTTCGTAGTCACTACGGATGCGAGCCAGTTCGGGATTGGTGCAGTGCTGCAACAAGATGATGGTGATGGCCTGTGTCCGCTCGAGTATTACAGCAAACGCATGCCCAGCCACAAGGTAGCTACTTCCACATATATGCGTGAGCTTAACGCCCTGCACGAAGCCCTAGCACATTGGAAGCACTACCTCTTGGGTCGCCACTTCAAGGTCTACTCTGATCATCAGACCTTGCAGTGGATTCAAACACAATCTGAACTCTCTCCTACATTGACGCGCTGGTTGCATGACATTGATGTTTACAGTTTCGAGTTGAAACATAAGAAAGGTTGTTATAACCGGGTTGCTGATGCATTGTCCCGCCATCCTGAATTCTTGACTTGCCTTGTGGGTTCATACGACCTCCAAAGGAAACTGAAGGAGGATCTGGTTGAACACACCGCCAGGGATCCGGACCTCAGTCCCATCCTTGAGCAGCTCAAGGCTGACCCCAACAGTCAGCCTGATTTTCACGAATGCAAGGGTCTTGTATTCCGCCGGTACGGAAAGTTTGATCGTTTGTGTGTTCCCAACCATGCGCCTCTCCGGACTCATTTCCTGGATTTGGCACATGGTCGGAGCGGACATTTCGGCTTTGAGAAGACTTATGGAAGTCTTCTGCAGCAGTTTGATTGGCCAGGGATGAAAGGATCTGCTCATAAATTTATTGTTGAATGTCTGGTATGTCAGAGAACCAAGGTCCACAGGCATAAGCCTTATGGCCTGCTAAGACCCCTCCCCATTCCTGATGGACCCGGTGAATCGATCTCCATCGACTTCACGGACATGGGAAAGGTGAGTACAGTAGGGAATTCACAGGTCATGGTCATCGTGGATCGTTTCTCCAAATTTCTGAATTTGATCCCTTTCCCTCCCCATGCACCAACTGAACTTGTCATTGAGGAATTCCATCTGCAGTACATTCTGCAGTTTGGCGTCCCGAAAACTATTGTGAGTGATCGGGACACCAGATTCATCAGCAAAGATTGGAAGGACTTCACGTCGCAGATCTATGACATTAAACTGAACAAGACTTCTGGTCGACACCCCGAAGCCAATGGATTGGCTGAGGAGATCAACCAAACTGTCATCCAACTACTCCGCGCATTGATTGTTCCAGATCAGAACTCGTGGGACAAGGAGCTGCACAAGGTAAAGGGACTGTATAACAATTCCATTCACTCTGCAACTGGTGCGACACCAAACCAGCTGCACTATGGATGGCTGATGCGCAATCCCCTCTCCTATCTGTTCCCCTAACGGTCACGTGGTCTGATGCCCGGCATGCCTGGCTACAATGTCAAGTACGCACGCTTGCTCAAAACTGTGATCGCAGCCATGAACAAGCGTCAGCATGCCATGATCAAACATGCCAATAAGATGCGCAAAAGAAGAGAAATTCAAAGTAGGGGATTATGTTTGGGTCAAAATGTCTGAGTTCTCTGACGAAGAAGGCGTATCACGAAAGCTCCTTTCTTTGTACTACGGCCCTTGGCAGATTCTGAAGGTGATCGGGGATGATTTTGGCCCTTCATTTGTAATTGACGTGCCTCCTCACCTGCGCACGTATCGAGTTTTTCATGCGTCCAAACTGTTTCTGCACATTGATGATGAGAATTTTCCTTTCGGGGACCCTATGATACCTCGCCCTATGGATGGCGGCCATGAGATAGACAAAATCGTATCTCACGAGGGCAGAGGGAGGAACAGGCAGTATAAGGTTCACTTCCTCTATCACCCGTTGACTGAATTCTTCTGGATCGACCGGAAAGAGCTGCTAAAGAGTGCTCCCCGTGTTGTGAACGCTTACGAAAGACAGATCACCGAGGGACAGACCGCTAAGTTCGTAGCAACAATGACTCCTCATGGATTGACGAAGTCTCTTTTTCTGATGTACTCCTTCGATGCGTTCTGTACCGACTCTGACTGAGTTACTCGCTCGAGGGGACCTCGCTCTCGAGAGGGGAGTAATGTAATGACCCGCCAAAAACACAGACTGAGAACACTGCTGATTTCTGGGATTTGTCACTGGAATGAATGCCTTGCTGTGATTCCCGCATTCTGCTGTGGTTCCAAGTCTGTGTGTGTGCGTGCCTGCCTGCCTGTGTGCTTGCCGGATGAGTGTGTGTGCGTGCCCGCTGGTTTGCATGCCTGACTGTGTGCTTGCTGGTTGGGTATGTGTGTGTGACCCGCAAGGGTACTTGTTGGTTGCAAGGCCCCACCGGGCCGGTACTTACCTGTGGCCGTGACTGTGAGGGTTGCAGGGGTGTAAACACGCCGGTAGCAGGGGGTAGGCCCACGACACTTAGAGCAGCTGGGGAAAAACACTCAAGTAGCAGGTAGGCCGAGCAGAAGAAGACAAAAAGTTGGCATTTTTAGAGGCCCAGTAGCGGTAGGTTAGAGGTAGGCCGGTACCAGTCCAAGTAGCCCGGGTCTAGGGCCTGTGCGGACAATAACAGAGCCTGCAATGATGTTTCCCTCCGAAAGGGAGGAGGTACCGGTTGCTGGGAGGCCGCTTGGCCTAGGAAGTCACCGCCCAGGAGGCCGGTAGGCCGCTATATCTTCAGGAAGAGCGGAGAGCTCTTCCTCATTTGCGGTATGCAAGGATTGGYRRCATGCTGCTGGAGCGCAGCGCTGGACTGAAGCAGCGCTGCTTGGAGGTGAAGGTCCACTGGGGCTCAGCCTGGCTATGGCGAGCACCCCAGCTTGAGGAGGAGGAAGAAGGGGGCATGGTAGGAGTGGTAGGGCACTTACCTGACTATGGTGGACACTGTCTTCATCACCTTGTTGGGCGCTGCATCTGGAAGGCCCCAGTTGGGGTAGCGCTGCACCAGAGCAGCTCAAGGCAGAGTCAGGCATAGCGGACCAAGTCAAACAGCAGCATAGCTGCTTGGGTTGTCTTGGGACATCAGCGCAGCATCATAGCTGCCTCCCGGTAGTCCGCCATGGCCTATGCATGAGAGAGGAGGATGAAGGAGGGAAGCCATGGCCATAGTGGACTTTCTTGTTGTTGTTGTGTTGTGAGTTGAGTCAGCAGTAAGGGGGGACTTCGGATATTGATTCTGGTACATCCATTCATTGTTATTATTATTGTTGAGAGAAGAATAAGATTGGCAGATTGAAGGAGGAGGAGGAAGGTGGAGAGAGAAGGTGGAAATTGTCATTGGTCTTGCTGGTGTACTTCTTCTTCTTCTTCTTCTTCTTCTTCTTCTTCTTCTTCTTCTTCCTCTTCTTCTTCTTCTCCTTTCTCTCTCCTCCGGTCTTTATCTCTTTGCAAGTGCTTTCATTTCCTTCGCAATTTGGTGGCATTGTCTTTCATTGTGAATTTGCACTTTGGAAATGACCGGGATCGTAACAATCCGAAGTTCCCTCTTACTGCTGACTCAACTCAACAACAACAACGACAACAACCAGTCCACCATAGCTATGGCTTCCCTCCTTCAGCCTCCTCTCTCATGCATAGGCTATGGCGGACTAATGAGGGCCTTGCCCTGACGT